GCTCAATCTTGAGAACCTTAATGGTCATGTTGGTTGTTCTGATTTGTCTACGTATCCTTCTTGTTTGGGTCTTTTTGTCCATTCCTCCGTATCAACTTGGTTACATATTTTATATTATTATATGCTTCCTGTGTGTAACTCTTGTTCTTGTTGTTCAATCGCACAGTTGAGTCCAACTCTTTGCAACCCCATGGACCAGATCACACCAGGCCTTCCTGTCTTCCGCTGTCCCCTGAAGTTTGCTCAATTTCATGCTCGTTGCATCGATGACACTGTCTAACCATCTCATTCTTTGCCGTCCCCGTCTTCTGTTACCTTCAATCTTTCCCAGCATCAGGGTCTTCTCCAGTGAGTGCTCCCTTCTCATTGGGTGGCCAAAGTATTGGAGCTTCAGTTTCATTATCTGGCCTTCCAGGGAACAGTCAGGGTTGATTTCTTTTAGGATTGACTGATTTGATCTTCTTGCAGTCCAAGGGACTCTCAAGAGTCTTCTCCAGCACCATAGTTCAAAAGAATCAATTCTTCGGCGCTCAGCCTTCCTTATAGTCCAACTCTTGCAGCCATATATGACTACTGGGAATACCATTGCTTTGACCATGCGGACTTTTGTTGGCAGGGTGATGTCTCTACTTTTTATCATGCTGTTTAGGTTCGCCCTGTTTAGGTAACTCTGCCATACGATAAATAATACCGTCCGTTCCTCCTACCCACAGTGGAAGGAACATTCTACATCTTCCTCTTAATTCCAACTGCTTTTTATATTTATGCATGTATATATTTCTTGCCTGGTAAGATCCTCTTCCCAAGATCTGCTGTCTGTGCTATTGCATTGCAGAGGGGCAAGTGGCAATCAGAGACAGTGGTTTTTTCAGTGGTGGCACCTTACCTTTGAAACACCCTACCCTTGGGGCTCACCTAATGCCTACCTAGGGTTGCCAGCTCCACGTTGGGAAATACCTGGAGAATTGGGGGTGGAGCCTAAGGAGGGCGGGGTTTGGGGAGGGTATGGGGTAAAATGTCATAGAGTTGACCTTTCAAAGCAGCTATCTTCTATAAGTGAACTAGGATTGCCAGGTGAGGCCGACAGCGGGTGGGGGACTTACCAGGAAGCTCCAGAAGAGGAGAGGGAGGCTCTGAGAGAGGGAACTCTGAAGTGAGCTCCAGGTGTGCTGCCGTCGCATTTAAAGGGACTGTGTTCCTTTTAAACGCTTTCCCTCCATTGGAAATAATGGAGGATGGGGGCACCTTCTTTGTGGGCTCATAGAATTGGACCCCCTGGTCCAATCTTTTTGAAACTTGAGGATTTTTTGGGGGAGTGGCACCAGCAGCTATGCAGAAAATTTGGTGCTTCTACCTCAAAAAACAGGCCCTACAGAGTCCCAGATACCCATGGATCAATTTCTCCATTATACCCTATGGGGACTGGTCTCCATAGGGTATAATGGGGTGCCCAGCAGCTATTCCGCCCCCCCTTTATGATAGCCCTGAAGGGGCTCCAAACTAGGGGGTCCCCTGCCCCCAACTGGGGATTGGCAACCCTAAGGTGAACTGACCTCTGTCACCCAGTGATCAGATGTAATCTCAGATCTCCAGCCACCATCTGGATGTTGGCAACCTGATGTCTACCAGACTGTCTTTTAAGCACCAGGCCAACCCTAACCCAAGCTTTTAACTAGAATGAGTGTTATATTTTTAGGTGTTCCATGGTCTGCTTCTAGCAGTGTTGCTTTTCACCCAAGCTTTTAACTAGAATGTTATATTTTTAGGTGTTCCATGGTCTGCTTCTAGCTTGAGGAGTGTTTTATGCTCTTTTTACAAAATGGCTTGTTTTTGTGTCTTATCTCATTGCAGTTAGTTCTTACTCTATTAACCTGATTGAGACATTGGTTTGTCCACTGCAGATTCTATGTACAGGCACACTTGGATTTATTGGAACCTGTGTTGGCTGATAAACTGTTCTCCGAGCGGAAGACTCTCAGGAAATCTTACTGGCAGGGGTTGACCAAAGAACAATTGTATCTGTAGTGAAATTTCTGTGTTCGGCAATAAAAATATGGACTGAGATAACATTCAGTGCATAATTTACTCAGATTCTAACCTTTTAACTGTTAGATGTATCAGGACAAGTAATGGATGGAGAGATTTTATGTAGATAATTAATTTTATATGAGTTTTTATCTGTCTTTATTTATTTATTTATACGTTCAATTTATAGACTGCTCTGACCCGAAGAGTTAAACATGAAATCGTTACAGACACACAGAGTTAAACATGAAATCGTTACAGACCTCCTGATGGCACCTGGTATTTTTGGGCCACTGTGTGACAGAGTGTTGGACTGGATGGGCCATTGGCCTGATCCAACATTGGCTTCTCTTATGTTCTTATATTCTTTCCTTTCTTATTCTTTTGCTTGTCTTACCATTTTACCGAGAGAGAAGTGAACACAATCTCATGGGGGGGGGGATTGATATTTGAAAAATTAGTCTAGGCTCTGAATGATATTCCTGATATCATTTCCACACACCAGGCACTGAGGTTCAGATCCTACTGTGGCATTCACATCACAAATTGTTCTTTTTTTGTCATATACTGCATTTTGTGCGAATTACTAACAGCCCAGCAGGCAGCCGTGAAGATCCCATTCATGGCAAGAAAGAACATATACATTAGAGACCTTGACTATTATTTCTGTTGAATTTACCTGTTGGCACTAGAAACTACTTACATTTGTGCATGCAGTGAGAGAGATATCAGTCACATGAAGAAAGTGGCGTGCTATATATTGCATTTTACTTTCCATGTGGAATGGAGTTGCACAAATCGCTTTCTCTCAGAGAAATCATTGGACAATAATTTTAGAGAGCTAGAAAACTACCAGAAAAACATCTACTTCTGCTTCATTGACTGTGCTAAAGCCTTTGACTGTGTGGATCACAACAAACTATGGCAGGTCCTTAAAGAGATGGGAGTACCAGACCACCTCACATGTCTCTTGAGAAACCTGTATAAGTGTCAAGAAGCGACAGTTAGAACCGGATATGGAACAACTGATTGGTTTAGCATAGGAAAAGGAGTACAACAAGGATGTATATTGTCACCTTGCTTATTTAATATATATGCAGAGTACATCATGCGAAATGCTGGCCTGGATGAATCACAAGCGGGAATTAAGATTGCTGGGGAAAAGATCAACAACCTCAGACATGCAGATGATACCACTCTAATGGCAGAAAGTGAAAAAGACCTTAAGAGCCTCTTGCTCAGTGTAAAAGAGGAGAGCGCAAAAGTGGGCTTGAAGCTCACCATAAAAAAAAACTAATATCATGGCATCCGGCCCCATCACTCCTTGGCAAATAGAAGGGGAAGTCATGGAAGCAGTGACAGACTTCACGTTCCTGGGATCCCAGATCACCGCAGACTGTGACAGCAGCCATGAAATTAAAAGACGCCTGCTCCTTGGGAGGAAAGCGATGGCGAACCTAGATAGCATAATAAAAAGTAGAGACATCACCCTGCCAACAAAAGCCTGTATGGTCAAAGCAATGGTATGAGAAGTTGATCGTCGAGCTGAAATAAACCTGAGTTTTGCTGAATCACTCTCTGGCTATTTTGTTAAGCACGGACTTAACAGCCACCCAATGAGAAGGGAGCACTCACTGGAGAAGACCCTGAGGCTGGGAAAGATGGAAGGTCAAAGAAGACGGGGTCAGCAAAGGATGAGATGGTTAGACAGTGTTATTGATGCATCGAACATGAAATTAAGCAAACTCCAGAGGAAGGCAGAGGACACGAGCGCCTGGTGTGATGTGGTCCATGGGGTTGTGAAGAGTCGGACTCGACTGTGCGACTGAACAACAAAAAAGAAAACTGCTGGGTAGTAATTCCAGTGCATATTGTCACTGCCCTGCCCAGAATCAATGAAGGATAAAGGAAGAAATAATGAAGGATAAAAGAAGAAATAAACATTGTTTTCTATGTACAGCTGAATTATCCCTGCGCTTTTATTTTTTTTACCTTGTCAGTATAGTGCGCTGGTTAAAGTGTAGGACTAAGGAACTGGGAGACCAAGGTTCAAATCCTCACTTGGGCCAATCACACCCTCTCAGCCTACCCTACCTCACAGGGTTGTTGTAATGATAGAACAAGAGGTGATGAGGATGACGTAAACTGCTTTGAGAAGAAAAGGCTAGGTATAAATGAAGTAAATAAATAACAATGGAAAACCGTTTTATGCAAATAGATGTCAGATTAAGGGTAAGATCATTGTTCATGTGAAATATTTGATATTATAAATAGTTAGATTCGAGACTGGAATTTAGCTATTCTACTGTGGACCGACATGGCTGGCTACCCTCTCAAACTATCTTCATGGAACTTATCTTATAAACAATCCTTGGATCAATGGATGACAAAGAGGTTGACAAGCGCTTTCACACACACAGTAAAATAACGCACTTTGAATCCACTTTGCCACTGGATTGTACTGTTTGAGATGGCAAAATCCACCCGCAAACGGTTGCTGAAGTCGACTGAAACTGTATTATTCAGCATGTGTGAAAGCACCCAAGAAGGTTGACAAGAGAGCATATTTGGCTGATTATGGGGCTGCCCCGAGAAACAGGATGAATTATACTTGAATCTACCCCCAGACTTCGCTGGGGGTGATCCAAAGAGGCCCTGAAGTTCACCCGCTATCCCCAGTAATGCTCTGCTTTTGAAAAATTCACTCCATACATTCTCGCTTCTATTCCTGTAGGGTAGAATCAGTGGCGTGTGTGTGTATGTGTGTGTATGCGTATGTTGGGGGATTGTTGGCAAAATGATACCCAGGAAGGGGGAGGAGAAATGTGCGCAAGTGGAAAGCAAATAGCACGGAGGTGGGGGGGGAGAATGAAAACTGCCGCCAAGAGCTAGATACTGATGTCAGCGGCTCCCTCCGAGCTTGGGAACCAGACACTCTTCTTGCTCCTGTCGGACCAAGATCTAGCCATTCTCACTGTGTAGAGGTGAGTGAGTCGCTCTCCTTCCACCTGCGCTTAGGGGGCCACATGGGGGTAAAGGGGAACTCTCTGCACCTCCCAAGAGCGGAGTGTGCACGTCCTAGGCCAGCTAGTGTCTCAGAATGAGTGACAGCAGCAACAGGGAGAAGGGGGGGGGGTTGAAAGGTGAGGGAAGAATCCTCTTTCCACACATTGCAAATAAACAGCCATCTATTCTACAAAGGGCCGGGGGTGGAGACAGAATGTTCACCACTGGTAATGCAATCGAGCCGTAGGGGCTAGGAGGAAGGCGA